GTGTGTGTGTGTGTGTGTGTGTGTGAGAGAGAGAGAGAGAGAGAGAGAGAGAGAGAGTTTTCAGTTTAGTTTTCTACATAACATAGTTCTTTTTTTGGATTTGTTAGATTTTTAATTTTTTTTTCTTTGCTGGGACCTTCCCTTGTCCTTGCACGGCCTGGCCACATGGGACCCGGGCCGCCCGACTGGTAGCCTAGGGTTTTTTTTTTTTTTTTTTTTTTTTTTTTGGCCATTCGGGGTTCGTATAGACTGCACAGGGAGGACGTCCGACCAGTTGTCCGATCGGACGACCCCGGACGGTCAGGGGGGGCCCGGACGTCCGATCTGGTGACCTAGACAAAAAGTCATTTCTTATTTTATATTTGGTAAAGAATTTCGATGCGACTCTTGCGATAGTAGTTAGGGGATTAGTTAGCTATTGAGAGACTTGTTAGCCTCTTTTTGAATTGAATAGGGTATTTTACGGCTTCGGTTTGATTTTGTTTGGGATTGGATAGGACAGATGGTCAGTTGGGTTTGGTGCTTTTGTTGACTTGGATTACCGTGGTCCAGGCTTTGCTCTACCGGAGAGCCTTGCTCAGCTCGGGAACTGCGGCACCTTTGTGAGGGACACTGGGCCCGTTTCCCAGCATATAATGATAATTGTTGGTTGGTTAAAAAAAAAAAAAAAAAAAATTATTCAGCTTACTTTTCTGCAGAGCATTCTTCGGACTTTTTTGAATTATTTTTTTTTTTTTGCGGCAAAAATTTTTGTACATAAACTATAAGATATGCGCTTTGTGTCTAACTTTGATTATTATCTTCTCATTGCGGTCTCTAAATATTTTTGCAGTTATGAAGCACATGCAGGATTTGAAACTGCGGTGACCATACATAACGACAGGGAACGACTCACAAGATTCTTGTCAAAAAACGACCAAGGAAAGGACATCGCGAAGTATAAACATATTCAACGGTATATTCTGAATCGTCAAAGGTTTGAGGATGGATATCTTCGTTGGAGAGTATCAATCTTTCTTCAAAAGAATTGCCCAGATTTGATTGATCACATCAATTATCGTGTGAACGTTCATACAATTCTTTCACAGGTAACATATAATCTGCGCATTTGCTCTTCTTTGGTGTGTGTGTTTGCATTATATTCCTCTATACTGCAACAATTGCTTTAGTTTTTTTTAACTCCCCAAAAGTAAGCTTTAGTCGGTAAGAGCACTTCCTAGTTTTCTCTCTCTCCATCGATTGTGATCCCCCCCCTTTGCTTTATTTTAAAAATGATTTCAATAGTACGTAACTCACCTGACGTGGAGATTACCTGCATATGGCCAAAGGAGCACAAATCTAAGCTTCTTTCTTTATTCGAATGTTGACTGTGAAGAGGGGGAAAAGGGTGAAATTTGGTTTTCAAGGAGTTCAATGAGGGGTGCCTTGGTCTGATGTTCTTTTTTTTTTATCGTTGATTATGTGAGGAATTGAGATGTAAGTATTTTCCTTCCTCCACCTTTTTTCCTCCCCCACCTTTTTTCAACAATTACTTACTTTTAATTCCTCATTCTCTCCGCCTGCCTCCTGTATCCTTCCTCCTTTTTTGCCATCTCCCCCTCCTCCTCTTCCACCATCATCCTCCTACTTCGCCACCATCTCCTCCTCCACCTTCTCACCCCCTGTTCCTCCTCTCTTCTCCCTTCTTGTCCCCCTTCTTCACCTCCTACTCCTTCAAATTTCTCCCCCCCCCTTCTGTCCTTCTTCTCATCCTTTTCCTTGTTTTTTCTAATTCTTGTTGTTCCTCCTTCTTCATCCGCCATTGCAACGGTGTCCTGATTGTTCTCTATTGCTGAGGCCCCTTCCGCCTCCAAAACAAAGACGATTGTCCTACATCGCCACAACATCCTGATTGCTCTCCATCGTTGGGCCCGCCTATTCTTCTATGGCCCTCTGCCTGCCGCCGCGACCGACCCCGGGGG